AAACTGGAGAGAGATTTTTACAGTATAGGGGAGCATGGAAGAGATCATAGTGGGTAGATGTCTTGGTCTCCATAAATAGGAGAATGAAGGAGCATGAGAACAGGGGATTCAGAAAAATGAAAAGACAGAATTTGATGAATACAGCATGCTTAAAGATTGGGAGCCCATTTGAAATTTGAGAGCTTGATAATTTGAACCTGTAATGCACAAGACTTTTCAAATTTTTTCTCCAGCACAGTTTTGTGGCCTGGGAAGAGTAAAATAAATGTTGGGGATTATATACTTTGTTAGATGTGAGAACGCTCCTCTAAAGTTCTAAAAGCAACAATTAAAATGATAAGATCAACCACCATGACACCTGTTAATTTTTAGATTGAAACTGGCTCCAATTCAAACGTACTGACTGAAGAAAAGAAGCTACCCAAACTATAGAATCTCTCTCTCTCTTTCTTTTCTTTTCTTTTCTTTTCTTTTCTTTTCTTTTCTTTTCTTTTCTTTTCTTTTCTTTTCTTGATTTCTTTCTTTCTTGATTTCTTTCTTTCTTTCTTGATTTCTTTCTTTCTTTCTTGATTTCTTTCTTTCTTTCTTTCTTTCTTTCTTTCTTTCTTTCTTTCTTTCTTTCTTTCTTTCTTTCTTTTTCAGTACCAGGGATTGAACTCAGGATCCTGTGCTTGCCAGGCAAGCACTTATTCTACTGAGCTATCTCCCTCACTCCGTAGAATCTTATTTTTTGAGAAATGAAAAACTTCAACTGCATGCTGTGCCGTCCTACCCTGGGGCATGCTGAGCCAGTGACAGAGTCTGGGTGAGGTGGCACACACCTGTAATCTCAGTGCTAGGGAGGCTGAAAACAGGAGGATCACCATGAGTCCAATCTGCATAGTGAGATCCTGTACCAAATACACAAGTGGAAAAAAAAACCTTCCATAATCCAAAGTTTTTCTGCTAAGTTTTGCTTAGAATGATATATTCATATTAGTATTTGCTTTTACTTTCATAAAGATTGGGGAATAATAGTATTCTAAATCTGAGAATTTTTAAAGTAAGTCATTTCAAATAATAAGACCCAGTAACTTTTTTTTTTTTAATGTATGTGGTACAGGTTCTCACTACACAGCCCAGACTCATAGTGATCGTCCAGCTTTCAGCCTCCTCAGCACTGAGATTACAGGTGGTCACCACCATGGCTCCTCTCAGCCAGCTTAGTGTGTCTGGGGATGGGGCCAGCATGGCATGTGGTGCCGGAGATCAAACCCTGGTCCCTGCTCTTGCCTAGGCTGTCTCTTAGTCCACTGAGCTATCTCAATGGCCCTAGGACACAGTAACTCTTTTAAAAATGAAACTTAGACTCTTAAGTCAACATTTTTCATAAAAACAGTAATTGTTCAGTATTGACCATAAACTAGTTTACAAAGAAGAAATAAATCTTGATGCTCCTACTATATTTGTATTCTCCTTTTTAGAAAATGCATTTATCCTTACGATAACATTTCATATCACCCATTTTCATGCAATCATCTGTTGATTTACTATATGATATTCAAAATCTATAAAGTCCTTACCTTCAATAAACCTATTGTTTGTATATTTTAAGCTTAATAACCTAGAAATGTTATAGTAGGATTTTTAAAAATAAATTTTAAATGCAGTGTGTATTTTAAGTATTAAGGCTACATTAGTAAAAACCAATGGCACTTCAACAGAAAATATAAAAAAGATATTTAACATACATTATTTTGCTTGACATAAGAAACATTGCCTTACTATCCCCATGATTAGCATACTGGATTTCAGAAAATGTTAATGTCTTACCTAAGTTTCCAAAGCACATAAACATTGGAGGAAGAACAAAAGTAACATTTTCCCCATTAGACCTGGTCCCACTGATTTAGTCCAAAATAGTCCAAAATCCAATCCACATTGTAGTTCTCACTAGTTTACATTTCTGAGTCATTTATACATTCAATTTCCTACCCCTTCCTGAAAATTTCTCCTCTTAATTTCTGTAACATTTTTGTCTTTTGATTTTCAGTTGTCTCATTCTGTCTTTGGTCTTCACTTATCTTTTTAGAAACTGCATGTTTTTAACTAACACTTTTAAGTAAGTGGTCATGAAAACTAATTATACAGCCTTGAACTCCCAACTTAATTTCAAACATGTACTTTCCATGGTGCTGGACAGATGTACAGACCTGATTGCTCACCCATACTCTTATGTGCATGTATCAGGTACTGGAAATAGAACCCAGGGTATGGCCCGTGGTAGCCACTGCTCTAAACATTGACCTACATTTTGTTTTGTTACAATCTCTTTGATAGTTCTTTGAAATTATTTAATATATTTAAAGTGGTTAATATGTGTAATGAGGAATACAAATGTGAATCAAAGAATTAGAGTTGACCACGTTGAAATTGAATAGCTAGATCTTAGATTCCTATAAGAAGCACATAAAACTCAGTGTTTTTTATGTTTTTGTTTTTGGAGCAATTTGCCATGTACTGGATTCCTCAGGTTTAAAATCTTAGAATCATCTTTGAAAAATGTTATCTTTGATTTTTATTATAATATCAGAACTGTTCTATTCACATTTTCTTTATTAATCTTCCTGAAAGATTAATAAACAGTTAACTTCAGCTACTCTTTCACCATTTTACAAAACTTATTATAGCTTACAAAACTAAGCTCTACCTGCAATCATCCTCTACATATGACCTACATTTTTCTAAACATGGAAACTTGAATTCTTTTATTTCATTCGCTTGGAATACCATTTTCTTTCATTAACTTTCATTTAGAAGACATTCTGATCTAAGTATACAACTGAGCACTACTAGATAGATCGCAGTTTTTCCTCATCTGAACACTATCCTATAAGTTCTTTTATGTTCCTCTACTTGCACTTGTCACTTTCTACTTTGTATGAAAGATTTTTGCCTTCATATTATATCTAGATCAGGGATTTACAAAATTTCCTATAAAGACCCAAATGGTAAAATATTTATGGTTCCAAGATATATATGTCTTTGTGTCTTTTTAATTTACCATCCTTTAAAAATCTAAGTACCACTTTTAGCTTGAGGACAGAGCAAAAAAAGTAAGCTGTCTGTCAAGTTTTATGAAATCTAATCAATAGCAAATATTCCTGATAAGTCTGTTTCATATTTGTATGCCTCATACCACTTAGCAAAGTACATAATCCTTATAAGGTACTGAAATATATGTTACATGGTTACATGTTATAACTAAAGAGACTCTTAAAAATAGCTAACAAACACAGAATAGATTTTATGGTAATCTTTCTAAATATATCCATCTTTTGATTTCCTAATTCAGCAACTAGTACAATTTAGTTACTTATACATTTGTTTTAGCAGAGTACCCAAGGATGAGCCACTTAAAATATCCTTTACTCAAACTTGGATGCCAGAATCATACAACTTTTTTAAAAAATTTTATTTTTTAAAGACAGTACAAAACAGAAAAATTGTAAGGGATATAAAATTTCACTTAACAAAGTAATATGAGTTTCACAGTATTTGTTGTGATGCATAGTGTTGTCTTCCAACTAGTTATTCATATTGCCAAATACATGCATACAAAATTGGAAGAAGAAAGAAAAAAATGAAAGCCTGTCTGTTCTTGCTGAATTTCTGAGATCTTGATTTTTATGTGGCTAGGTATAAATTTATTATGATTATAGGTGATTGGATTTATATATGTTTCCTTTATCTGTATTTCAGCTTCTTTCTTGATATTTGGGAAATTTTCTGCTAGTACTTCTGGAAATAGTCTTTTTCTGTCATTTGTGTTGTCTCCTACTGCTTCATTGACACCTATTATTCTTATATTATTTTTCTTTGTGTCATCTTGTAGTTGCTGAGTTGTTACTTCCTGGTTCCTTGTTAATTTTAAGAGCTCTTTCCTTTCATATTCATTAGCTGTAACACTGTCTTCGAGGCCTGAAAGTCTATCTTCAGTTTCATTCAAGCTGTTCAACTTTTGCTTCAATAGTATCTTCCCTTTTAAACAATCAGTGTTTACTCCAATTACTCTAAAAATATTTACAATAGTGTACTTCAAAAATGTTAGTGATTTTTGCTTATTTTAAAATGGTCCTAAACACATGATTGGTAATGGCCTTGGTTATAACCACTTCTATATTGTTTTCCTATATTATGAAATAAATGAATATGATTCTAGTATCAAATCAACAAACAAAACAACCTCATCTCTCATGACACAAGATTTAAATGAAAACCAAAGGAAGGGAAAATATTGTAGTGTATGTTACAATTATTTTTAGGCTCCTGAGCATATATAACTTCTCAGTCTGTCTCTGGTTTCAGTCAGGATTTGGACATGTCAACAGCCTTTATTTAAGTGCCTTGTATTTTCTAAGCAATTGAATAGCCCCACAGCACTTTAGTTGATTATACAGAGACACTATCTCTTAAAACTTCTACTCTGTTCTTAGTATTTAAAACATATGTTGTACTGAGAGGCTCAACCTTGATATGAATCACGAGAATTATATACTTTTAGGGGTAGCTAAACAAAGTACTGAAAATAAAATCTTTCACATACTTCTACTTACCTTATGGCTCAGTAGCTCTGAAATTATATTTGTTTTGTATTTCCCTGATAATTTTTCATAGAATCTTGTTAGTGAACCCATGGTAAATGAAGTTGACCTCATGTTTGCCCACCTTAGTGGAAAAATTATATCTTGCCTTAGAACACAGGACAAACTTTCCTATCCCCTCTCAACCTCCACAAAAGATCTAGTGAAAGGGAGAAAGAGATATTCACTTTGTTCTCATTGATAAAGTAGACTATATGTATTACTACTTCCTTATATCTATCAGAATATTATTGAAACGTCATTCCATTCTCCTGATGAAATCTGCTACTACCTCAAAGGATATTAGAGCTTTGATATTTGCTTAATTTAAGGTGTATTGGAAAATACAATTTAAAAATTTTTTTACTGTCTTCATAGGAACCATTATCTCCATTCATGAGAGGAAACCATTTCTTCCCAGGAAATAATGTCATTTATGAAAAGACAATAAGAAAAGTGGAAAAGCTGAATACAGATCAAGTAAGTAGCATGTGCTTTCAAACTTATAAAATTTTAATTATGACTATTTTAATGTAGTTATAAAAATAGAAAATTGAAAACACCAAATATAAATAACAAAAATACTATTTTAAAACATCTCATCAGTGTAAAATTTAGAATTATGATAATTTTAATAAAGTTGTAATACTATTCAATTTTCAAGTATTAGGAAAGACCACCATGAGTTATATAGTATTTCATTATGGCTATAGCTCTTCATTTCATCTTTAATACTGTCATATTCATTTTGTCATGTAAAATATTGTTGTATATATTTTACTGAGAGGGAAACTGATGTTAAGATGTGTGCAGTCAGCCAGGCATAGTAGCATATTCCTAAAACCCCAACCATTGAGAGATTGAGGCAGTAGGATCACTGTGAATTTGAGGCCAGCTTGGACTATATAGTGGGTTCAATGTGAGCCAAGACTACATAGCAAGATCTTGTTTCAAAAAAACCAAAAGAAAAAGAAGGTAGAATATGTACTTTGTATCCATATCACAGCATGCTATATATTTTATTTTAAACTGGTTTTGATCAGAAAAAAATAATTTAAAACAATTTTATCTTGGTTTTTCAGTATAAATTTTAAATGAATTATATATGAAAAGATAATTTAAAACAATGTTTATTCTGAACGATCTAGAAAACTAGAGCTTTAAATCACATTCCAAAATTCTATTAAGCTTAAGGAATAAAGTAAGTATAGAGCAAAAAATCACAGCAGGGCCATGATAATTACATAACATCCAGAGCCCAAAGCCCTTTATTCAAACATTTTTGGAACTAACAGAGAGTTTACCGTGTTCTGCTTGAGTCATACAAGCGTTTCAAGCCCAGTTAAATTAAGAGATTATTTTTTAGATATTTTTGAACTAGGGTGATATATCGGTTTCATTGGAATTTTACAACATATCTCAAACTGTTTGGTTTAAAGCAACTAAAATTTGTCTCATAGTTCTGAAAACCCAAAATATGAAATTGCTGTCTGGGAAGGGTGATGAGCCCTTTGAAGTATCCAGGGAATATCTTTGTATGCCTGAATCCTAGGTTCTGATAGCAAGTATTCTTTGTTCTGTAGATTAATCACTCCAATTTCCTGTCTTCACATGGAATCTTTCATATGAACTTTCACAACGAATTCTGTGTCCAAATTTTCCAAATTTTTATAAAGATTCCAGGCACGTTGATTAGGGCCCATCTTAATACACTCATTTTAATTTGACTACATCTTTAAGGATTCCATTTCCAAAGAAGGGCATATTCTAAGTTACTGGGGATTTGAATATCAACATATCTTGAAGGCAGGCAATAGTTCAACCCATAAAGAGATAACATCAAATCAATGAATAACAAAATAAGTGTCTCATATATAAATAAAACTGACGGAAATGTATTATAGATTCCTTTTTTAAACTTCTTAGCATGAGAGCATTGTTTTATAAGTGCTTATGGGCAGTTTTTACCAGATTTGTAGGAACTAACATATTATTACTTACTCGATCACAGTAAAAACAAAAGAAGGTGAATTTTCAAAATTATATTCAAATTTAAAAATTTTCCAGGAAAAGTGAATATAGTCTTCATGGAGTTGAATATGGTATATATTGAATATATATCTTGCAGAGAAGCAACAAAATATTTCTGCATATTATAGTATAAGGTAGAAACATTTTATCAAA